ACTGAGGTTGTCATTAACAGGGCCAATGATACAGATATAGTTACACAGGTTGTCCCATAATATATTATGTTGAAAAACATGGTCATACATACTTGATGAAACAAAATTTGATTTTTCTCGAAAACGGTCGACTTTAGAGCGTATGACCAAGAGTACCTTTTTTGTGTAGAAAACATTGGCGGTGCAAATGGGCGTCTCAAAACCGTACTTTTTCCAGTGTAGTAGAATTTTTTTTTCAATTTCAACACCCTGTATCTCGAAAATGGTGCATTTTAGAGGGTAAGTTAATAGAAACGTTTTTTCATATTTTTGCACGAGCTATCACGTCCTGAAGTCCTGCGCATATATCATGAGACACCCTGTATAGATTGTTCAAAACTGGTCGTTTGCGAGCGGCCATATTGCCTGGCAAATATTTATTAATTTGAATCGGTTTAGCAAAAATGTGTTTTAAAACCGATTTTCAGCCTTTGGATATTAAAAAAAAGAATTGCTTACATTTTTACTTCAAGGCATAGGCTTGTGTTTATTTTTAAAACCGTGTATGATCAATCTATATAACTGTCTATAGCATTGACCCTATTAAATTACCAGGCTCAGAGTGTTGCCATATTATAATATGGTCAGCCATTTTGTTTGGAATGCCTAATTTGATAAAGTATAGAAGATAATAGTCGTTTTCTTTTTACAGATATACTTGACTAACTAAAAGTTAGATTCTGATCTAAGCTAAGTTTTAAAAAGAACGCGAATTTTAGTTGATAGGCGACGTGTCTCGTCATCCATTTAAAAACAATCGACATTTTTATCAAATTTTATAATTTCTTCAACATTCAACACTACGATCTTGCCCTTAGTCTTTTAATTTCTTCAAAATAATGAATTCATAAGATATGTTTGTTCGTATGATGCACAGAACACTCACTTTCTGTTATGGTTTATGGTTGACGTCAAGATCCGTGTAGGTACCTTAGCATCGGTAAGGGGGAAGAACACATACTTTGATTTTCTCTTAATATACGGAGAATGGTCGCACTGCGCAGATTTCTGAGTGCCTTTTAAAAGGAGATAGAAAACTCCGCTATTTTGATGCCTTATTACGTGTTGCCTACATCTTGGCGCAATATTTTTAATAGGTGCATTTTAATCATCCGCTTCTGCTTCGGAATTGTCGGTTTCCTTGTTTTAATTTGACAGGTTAATACCAGGGGGGATATCGCGCATGGTGTCATGGCGGCGCTGACGTCATGCGTAGAGTTTGTAAAGTTGGCGCGAAGAAAATATCACTTGACAGATAGATGTCACAGTAGTTTTTTTAAGTCCATGGTGTACAAATAAAGTCGTTAATGGTAATTTATAAGATTTTTAGAGAATATTTTTATTATATTATGTTGTTAACTTTGTTGTTTGTGTGTGGAATCAGTGAAAAACGTTTATAAAAAATGCGGTGTGCAATTTACGGATGTAAAAGTGACAATCAAAGCAAAGCATTTAAAAAAGAAGTTATGTTTTTTCGCTTTCCTCGACAGAAAGAGGTTTGTCAGAAGTGGGCAGTGGCCTGTGGCCGTGCAGATAAATTTAAAACTGAAAATTCACATGTGTGTTCCAAGCATTTTCAACATTTAGATTATAAGAGAGATCTCAAAGCAGAACTTCTCAATTACGCTGGTTATAAGAATAAGCGACTGTTAAAACCCGATGCTATACCAATATTAAATTTGCCCCTAAAATCGAGCAACACTGAAGAAGCATCCACTAGTGACTGCAGTGCAAAAATGGGGCGAGATGCACGGGCCGCCAAAAGAGAGCATCGACAAATAATTAAGAACATTGTGAAGGAAAGGTATGGGTTTTCGTGACTTATTACTGCTTACTTACCCTTCTTTTTTTTAAATTAGTACATCATTTTGTTTTAAATCCATATTTGGGCATGGTATTGGTGGCGTTTGATTTAGTTTAACTAATTTGTTTCGTTCGTATTTATTTGTAGCGAAAATCAAGAGGAAATCGTTAGAGATTGCGATGAAGTAGCACTTAATACTGCTAGTTGTGACAATATTATTCCTATTACACGTACCAAAGGGTATGGTTTTAGTTTTGCTTTATATTTTTAAGGATACAGTTTTATTTTATTTAATTTTTTGTCATTTTGCAATATACTTGACAGCTATTGATATGTTTAAATGTTTGTAGCGTTAATACGATGGCGTCAATACCAACTATAGAGGCACTCCAAAGGAGAATTCGGCAGCTGGAGAAGGAAAAAGCTGCAGTAGAAAAGGTATTTTCACCGAGGCATATCCAAAAGCTTTCTGGGGGATCTAGTCGGTTAAAATGGAAGGCCGAGGATATTTCAAAGGCCATCGTTTTATATGCAAGTGGCCCTAGAGCGTACCGGTTACTGTTAAAAAGAGGTTTTCCATTTCCAGCCGTTTCCACGTTAAAATCTTGGAAAAAAAATTTCCAAATTTCCCCAGGGATATTAAAACCTGTTATCGAATTCATAAGCCGAACAGACTTAACTTCGACTGAAAAAATATGTATTATGTCCTTCGATGAGATGAAAATACGAAGTGTGTACTCTTACGACACGGTGTCTGATCAAGTTCTCTTACCGCATGCTTATGCTCAGGTTGTTCTTATCCGAGGTTTGGTAGGACACTGGAAACAGCCCATTTTTTTTGACTACGATGGTAAAATGTCAAAAGATAAACTCTATAGTATTATTACTAGTGTGGAAGACGCTGGATTTTCAGTGGTCGGTATCGTAAGTGATTTAGGCGGTGGAAATAGGTCACTCCATAAGGAATTGGGTGTAACCCATACAAAACCATACTTTTCCCGTCCACGTCCTAATGATGCTGCTAATAAAGTTTACGTTTTCGCAGACGTGCCACACTTGTTAAAATGAATTCGAAATAATTTTGTTGACTATGGTTTTGTGATCAATAATAATGAGATCAACGTTAACATAATAGATAAACTGCTGCAGTTCACCGGTAAATCTGAATTATCTATTGCCCATAAAATAACGCATGCCAGCGTCCACGTGGTAGGTGCACAACGGCAGAAAGTAAAATATGCTAGCAAATTATTTTCCCGGACAATATCCAAGGCCGTCAGCAGGAGTGGCATGCTGGGATACTTTGCTGATGAAAACTGGATGGAATGTTCCGAATTTTTTGAGCTGGTAAATATTTTAAATCGTTAGTACCCGCATTTTCATAGATACATATTATCATTTTCACACAGGTAAATGATTGGTTTGATGTCCTCAATGTCAAAGTCCCTAACGAAGATACTCGTCCTAGAAAACATGCCTACGGACTTCAACTAGAGGCACAACAAGACATATTGGACAGGATGTCCAAATTAATGGCAACTGTTATGGTAAAAAACAAAACCACCCTCATGCCGTTTCAGAAAGGTAATATCTGCAGACTTAAACAATTCTAATACTTTAACATTCTAACTTTTAGGAATCCTTATGACAAACACTGCTCTGCCACTACTATTTCAGGATCTCCAAAGAAAGTTTCAACTCTCTTATGTATTAACTTACCGTTTAAATCAAGACGCGTTGGAACATTTTTTTGGTGTCATTCGTGCTAAAGGAGGTTTGCACGATCATCCAGATGCGCTGGAATTCAAATATAGAATGAGGGACTATATAATAGGAAAAAATATGGGAGATCTTCCCGTTAACGCAAATGTGGTAGAGGATTCCACGCCAGATATGCAAGGATTATCTGAAGAACTGCTTACTAGTTCTCTGCAGAAAATTAAAGAGTCAAATATTGCCTTGCCCACTCAAGATATATTTCATAGCAGCGGTTTTTCCGAACTGAAATATGATAGTTTGGAACATTTAGCAGGGTTTATTTGCAAGACCTTAAACGTAGAACCGTGTTTACATTTCGACACTCCTAGCACTTCATATACATGGACTGATCATCTCTCAGAGGGCGGGTTAATAAAAGCTTCAGATGCCTTTATGATACAAATAAGTAAACTCGAAAAAATATTTAGTGACTTTAATGGAGACTACATAAATCTGGATAAGGCATATATATCAAAATTAATTGAACAATCAACAAATGTAAATTGTTCTTACAAAGTTAAAGAATTATTCTTTAGAAGTCGAATGTTTTTCAAAACTAAAAAACTTAATTCGAATTTGCATAACAAAAATAAAACATTAAAAAGAAAAATGCAAAAAACTGTTACTTAAAATAAATATTTTTTCATGTATGTATTTGCATTTATTTTGCTTCCTAGCCCTTTTACCTATCCCATAATATTATCCTTAGATATTTCATGTAATTTCTAAAAAATTAACTTCTGATATTTCATGAAATTTCTATAAGTTGTGTAGGTATTTCCTCACAGTTCGTCAGTATTTTTAAATTCGCGCCTATTCCAACTCTACGCGTGACGTCATGCGCGTGGCTGTCCTATTTTTGACACTGTTGATATCCTACCTTTTATTTCTTTATACCATGGGTTAATACGACTTAACTGACAATTCCGGAAGCACAAGCGGATGATTAAAACGCACCTGATATTTTGCTTGCTGCAATCAGTGTCAGTGAATATTATTTTTGGAGTCACAGTTTATTGCTAATGAATCAGTTAGCTAACTCAGACCAGTTGAAAGTTCCAAAATAACATCCACTCCAGGGATACAAATTCAGGATGCGCAGAAGACTGCTGTTTTATTATGGGCGGTTGTCATATATTGTATTATCCGAGTTGCATTATTGATTTTATCGGTTATTTTAATTTTTCTCCGTTTTTTACAGTTTGACCCTCAATTTTGACTTCAGATTCGTGTTCAGCGGTAAAAAATAAGTCCCCAGCACAGACCACTTTTTTTTTTGTGGACCTGTGTAATTACTTATGACAGCATTGACACAGCCGTTGTCATGGATACTTTGCTTTGTTAAAACAAATGACGTCACGCTATCACGGTCCATAATGGATCAATGTTTGAAACCAACCTGTGCTAGAATGTTTTCCGCTGGTTTATAGACGATGTTATGTAACGGTCGTTTTCTTCCAACGTAGTTAACACAAACGAATTCTAGAAGGGAAGCGTAAATGAAACACATGCAGACGCCGTCCCAAACGTTCATCGCCGTCAAATTCGACACTACCGGTAACGTTGAACGGAATCCGTTTGAAGTTGTGAAAAAATTGAGCATTGTAGTGACACCTGTAACAAAAATTTTATCGTTTTTATTTATCTGTATCCAGTTGATAATAATAAGAGAGCTGATCCCTATATGATACGTCCCTGACTTATTAATAATAAAAATAATAATATATTATTTATTAACTTTAAGTAAATTTATTTTACACACATCTTATATTGATCCAATATCATATATACAGTATGTTCCAAATTGGTGCTGCATGTAATGCTATCTCGGTTATTATAAGAGCTACAAAATCGGTTAAATAGGCAATGTTTCTCAGGATTCTATTACCATTTCAGAACTTCTATTACATTTTGTCAGTTATTTTTGCACGCATGCACGCTTGCACGCATGCACGCACGCACGCACGCACGCACGCACGCACGCACGCACGCACGCACGCACGCACGCACGCACGCACGCACGCACGCACGCACGCACGCACGCACGCACGCACGCACGCACGCACGCACGCACGCACGCACGCACGCACGCACGCACGCACGCACGCACGCACGCACGCACGCACGCACGCACGCACGCACGCACGCACGCACGCACGCACGCACGCACGCACGCACGCACGCACGCACGCACGCACGCACGCACGCACGCACGCACGCACGCACGCACGCACGCACGCACGCACGCACGCACGCACGCACGCACGCACGCACGCACGCACGCACGCACGCACGCACGCACGCACGCACGCACGCACGCACGCACGCACGCACGCACGCACGCACGCACTTACGCACGCACGCACGCACGCACGCACGCACGCACGCACGCACGCACGCACGCACGCACGCACGCACGCACGCACGCACGCACGCACGCACGCACGCACGCACGCACGCACGCACGCACGCACGCACGCACGCACGCACGCACGCACGCACGCACGCACGCACGCACGCACGCACGCACGCACGCCTGCACGCAAGAACACACGCACACACACAGGAAAGTAATAGTATGTATATCCTTGTTTATGTTTACTAGTGCCATCTTTCGGATTAGAGGTAAAATAATTTTTATGTGGCTAATATCAGATATACAGATAGAAAAACTGAACAGCCTATTACCATAAAGATACGACAGCAGAATTATTTGAAAAGTGGTTTAATGAACAGCTCTCACCTATCGTTGCTTTCTTTAGTATAACCTACTAAAGTAAAGATCTAACTGCTTCAAAAAGCTTTATTGAAGAAATATTACAAAATATATTTAACTTTGACAAAGTTATCATAAAAATTAATCTTGACGTTTTTTCAAAAATTACGTTAACTATTACAAAATAATTAAATTAAAAATATCAAAGAATACCGCTTCATAGGGTATCAATTGCAAATGTGCAGGAAACCTCTTCACCTAATATTCCACCACAGTCAGTAATCGTTATGGACAACATATCCTACCACTCGCAGCAACTTCTTAAGATACCAAATAGTAGCAGTAATAAAACTCAAATTTTAGCATTTATGTCTAAAAAAAATATTTCTATTCCTGCCTGTGATCGTAAAAAAGGCACAACAAACAAAGAATTGCTAACTGTTATTAAAGGAATAAAGTTAGAAAAAATTATATTGACAAGCTGTGCAAATAACAGGGTCATACTCTTCCCAGTCTACCTCCTTACTATTGCATATTTAACCCTATGGAGTTAATATATGCAAACGTAAAATAAGAATTACGAAAATGTAATCAGTCTTCAAAACTGAGTAAAGAGGTTGTAGCAACAGAGTGCCAAAAGCTTTGGAAAAACTGTGTTAAACATGTTATCAAAGAAGATGAGTATGTGGTATTACTCTCTTTACAACCCATTATAATTCAACCAAATGATGACCCCAGTTCAGACGATTCTGACTGCTAAGATTATTTATAAAGATACCTTGTAATTGAAATGTTTTTTTCTTTTGTTTTATTTGCAAAGAATTTTTTTCCTTTACGGTTTTTGCTTTGAAAATTCGTTTTCCAGAAAAAACTAATGGGTTACAAAAAGGGCTCAGTTCACGTCTGGTACCCTATTTAAACCAAACGCCCTTACAGGCAGGTACATTTTACTCGTCTATTTACGTTTTATAATTTAATATTCAGTTGTAGCAAGTTAACGAGGTACTTATATTAATGATTTTTTTCTAAGTTCCAAGTAGGACTACAATTAAGTGCATCTGTCTAAATAACGACGTATAGTGTTGTCCAATTTATAATGATTCGATTGTCTTTTAACGAAAATTCCACACCTGTAATTTTGAACCAATCAAAATACGTGTTTTTGACAGATCACCATGGCAACGGAGGTATTTTAGTGGAAATTTTACTCTCGTGGGGTACCCAACAGCGAATTATACTGGAAATTTTTTAACGTTTACAATAACAGACCATTTTTGACAGACTGGTTTTTATTTGTTCACATAATAGGTTTAGTTTTGATACATTTTAGTTACAATGCTAAGGTGTTTTCTATATTCTTCGGCCACTTCTTTTCTTCTTAATGGCGAAAATGCAGGACTTTGGATGCTTTGAATTATGTGTCTATGTCTAATAAAATAAATATATATAATATTTAGACACTAATTTATTCACCTTTTTCCCATTCAGCACTTTGAATTTTGCGTAGTTTAGGTGCAAATATTCGTGGACAATTCGGAACAAATTTTCGTTTTTCAAGTTGGAGCCACAATCCTCTATTAATCCGAGTAAGTAAGTCATGGTGCAATGATTGATCATTACATCAGACAATTTCACGCATATTTTGCATAGCGTATGATTTTCAAATCGATTCATTTTTAAACAAATAGGTAATTTTGTTGGTTTTACTTGCTGTGCAATATTCTTTATCGCAACAAAACGCGAGTTATTTAATGTTTTGAACTGTCAAAATACAATGATCACAGCCTCCTACGATTGATGCTTGCTGACGCTGGTTATGAATTTCATACCATTTTAAAGCGCTCATAACGCATGTTAATAAAAACGCAGAAAAACAATTTTCTACCACTTGTAGTTATTCAAAACTTACGTAAAATTAAAGAATATACTATTTTCTATTTTCAAATGGTATTCCCATGCAACTACAATGAGTAGAAATAAGCAATTTGAAGGCCTAAATAATTGCAGCGAAACATTTTTTAACGTCGGGCCCCTTGACAACTTCAAAACTGAAATTATATTCGAGGTTAGGGTCTCACTTAGTTACCATGACAACTCAACAATCAAGGCGACAACACCTTTTATGTTTCACTGGTGACTTGGAGAAAATAATTTGCATTGTTGACAAACGAAATATAAATTTTAAAAATATTTAATTTTCAACCATAATTCGGCGTGGAATTTTCTTACCGAATACCACGCGAGGTCAAATTAATATCAGGAAATAATTTGACCTCTAGTGGTATTACTAGTGAATATTTTCTCGCATATGATATATTTTTAAAAGTATTTATAAAAATAATAAATTTATAAAATGAGGTATCTACGTCTATGGCAGATCAAACGAAATTGTCGTGAAAGGTTCGGAACGAGTTTTTATATTCTGCAATTGATAATGGAATAACTATATAATAATATTAAAACATTAATTTAAAATTATTAAAATAACTACCTAATATTAATATTATAATGCATGCATGCATGCATTCATATTAATATTAATTAAACATTATGCAACTAGTTGCGTAAGGTAAATCATTTTGATACTTGCTGCAATTACAATAAATGTTTATATGTAAAAATCAAAAAAACATGTTTTTCTTTGTAAAAAATGGAAACCTTATGGACAACTCTCGTATATCTAATAAAGATACGCGCAATCTAAATTAGATTGGTTACACGGAATTAAAATATCTTAATTTTTTTTGAGATATCGATCCTGGAAATGAATGTTAACTGCATCACCCTGTATACGATTTGGAAAACACCAGGTCCTTTTTTAGTAGGTACTTTATTTTAAATCTATATGTTTATCAAGAAGAGAAATAGTAAAATAAAACTGCAAAAAGTGCTTTTCTATCTTGAAATATTTTCAACTTCCATACTTAAAACACTGCAAATGAAATTCAAAAGTTAGTAATATTATTCATCGATTCTGGCAGTGACAATGGTTTTCAGAAAACATGAAAATTTACATATATATGATTTAAGTGTTTAGGTAAGTTGAAGAAAAATGGTTTAAATTATATATTAAGACTCTGTCTACAAACACAGGTATAACGATAGATTATGCAAAAATTATCGAATTTATATTCAAATTAAATTCTTAATAATCCTGAAGTTGTTTTGACTTGCAAAAGCTTCATTAATTTTTTTACTTTTTTTTTAGCCCAGATTACTTTTGCGTCAACATTTTTTTTTTTTATTATCAAAACAATGTTAAAAACTGCATAATTCTAAAGGAATATCTATTAAGACAACACAATGTTATTATTTTTAGTGTCTGAATCTCACGATAAGTATGTCTATGTTTTTTCAAAATTAAAATGAATTTTTTGTTGTTAAATGACGATCCTAATGAATTTTATCATTGAATCTATTGTTACCAAATACTTTTTGGACCTGGCCCCTCAATTGGACTGACAACATTGGTAGTGACAAACCTAATTAAAGAACATTCCTGTGTGCCTATCATCTTAGGAGGATGCACAATGGGCCTAGTGAGGACTAAGTGCCGTAGAATAACCCACTCTTCACACGTTACAAATACAGATACATACATGTTAGATGATGATAGGGAAATTTTAAGTTGTTGATTTAGACCTTGTTGATTCACAAAATCTGAGGGGTAAGTTTATTTATGTACAAACGTTGCGGGAATCTTTTGAGAAAAAGATTTTAAAGTGAATACCTTGCAGACCTTATGAACGTTGGTCAAGGGTTAATTCAGTCTCTGAAGGTCGGTGATGTAATGTTGTTTAGAAATGACAATAATAACAGAAGAGTTGAATGGATGGCCATTGGGTAGAATTATTAAAGTTTACGAAGAAAAAGATAATGCAAGTAGAGTGGCCAAAATAAAAATGGCCACTGGGTACATGGTTCAACCATACCAACGACTTTATCTAAAAGAGATGCCAGGAAAAGCAAAAGATAGAGTAGAAGAACACGAAAAAAGAAACGAAAGAAAAGGTAAGGAGGGAAGTAAAAGACAATAGCAATTGAAAGTGGGTCCCGTTGTGGAATAATTTTAAAACAACCGCAGAGGTTAGAAGTTTGGATCCCGGGGCAGAAGGATGTTAGAAACAGTTTTATGTTTTATTAATGTTTTAATATTTATACAAATTGCCTTATTTTGTATTATATTTTTGGTGCAACCCCTGTAATTTTTTGTTAACGTCAAAACAATATATATTATCAATCATTGAGGAAAACATATTTAAAAGCTCAAAGTCTCGTTCTATTATTAAGACTAGTGATAGACTTACCAATCATAACTCTTGCAGGTACAGCGTTCCACTCTAACCAAAACGTGATGAATGACGACGTAACCAATATTATACCAGGTATAAATACTGTTGTAAAATAAAAAGCTCGGTCTCTGGTAAATATCAGTTCTACCATTAGACAGCTATAATTTCCTGTAAAAAAGAAGAATATTAAAAAATTACAATGTTCTAAAGTTTAAATTTCTTCACGAATTTTTAATTTTTTAACAATCGTCCGTTATGTTGGCGAAAAAATTCCCTAAATTCGCACAAGACTTATCTGAAGACAACCTAATTTTAAAAATGTATAAAAAGGTTCAGTTTACTAACCCTAACGATAATCAAATAGTTCTAAGTGCCATCGCAAATAAATTAATTTATTGAAGGGGAACAAATATAGCGAATGTATGGGGTTATCATAAAGTAAGGGATATACTTTATAACAAATCCAGCTAACAACAAAAAGTAAACGAAATCTAATTGCTTAAGGAATATGATTTTATTGTGTCTATGGAAAACAAAAGCATTGTCATGACAATTGTTGACACGAGTATCAAAACAAAATCATTCAATTTGGAGTTTATTTTCAAGTTAAAACTCAAGTAAACGTAAAGTTGCAACTACTAAAACTGTATATATAATAGCATGGATCTACAAACAAGAATTGGTTTAGTTCAGTGTTATTATGAATGCAGCAGAAATTACACGGCTGGATTATGAAGATTTCGCACGAGAATGGGTTTGAGAGCAGGGCCCCTGTCATAATATGAAAACGTATCGCAATTTGATACGAAATGCTGTGAAAAATTTAGAGGAACGGTTGCTGATTTTATGGAGGTCAAATTAAACATTTACGGTAACTGGGTTTGGGCATAGAAAATCCTATTATTTAAACAATTAAATATCGTTTAGTTTTTGTTATTAACTTAATTTGCTAAAAAGTTATAAGTTAAAATATATCCCTTACTTTATGATAACCTTGTATATGTGCGTATGTTGTAATCATAACTTTTTCATACTTCTGGTACTTAGTTTCTTTTGAAGTTAAGGTTCATCTTACCCAACCAAAAAATTATTCTTATGTTCAAAAATTTTGAAAAAATTCACCCATCATACTCATCATATTCGCTCCGTGCCTGACAGCAGCGTCAATTGATTTATTTACTAATGGACGATTTTTGCATATTCACTCCGTGCGTGACAGAATCGCCAATTTATATATGTATTAATGGACTATTTTTGCGTATACTGTTAGTGCAATTTTTAATAGAATTCGTAATTAAAAAGTACATATGTTATTTATAATAAAAGTATATGGATTTGTAAAACAAGTAAAACATTAATTTATTATTAATATTATAATTATATATTTTTATCGCTTAAACTAAAAAAAGTGAGTATACTCAATACAAATCAATAATAAAATATAGGCAGGCAGGCAAATACCGGAAAATGAATTACAAGTTGCCTAAGTCTAATAAGTTGTCTTTGAAGAATTAACCTATTCTGTCAAAATAAAAAATACCAATAATAGCGTGAAGTTAAAATGTATAAACAGAAGGATTGTTTTTTATATTTTCATTTTTGTTCGAAAGAAAACATAGAATGAATGAATAAAACTGGTTTCCTATCGGTAAGTAACAAAATTGCATTTCAGCCACATACAATATTGAAATCTAGTCCTTGATGGAACATTTAAGAATAAAGGGATGTTGAAGAACATCGTAAAATGATAATTTATTGTTTATTTAAAACCTTTCAAGTTTCCTAGTCTACTATTTCCAGTATTACAGTTCATCAAATTTCTAGAGGTGTTCGACGCCCAGACAGAGAACGCGCTACGTGTGACTAAGATAGCTATTGTACAGTCTTCTAAACAAGTTATTTTAAATAGTTTTTAATATTTTTAGGTAATTAAATTTTAAAAGTGTGGAATAGTTTAGGGATTAAATTGGTCTGATTGGACTTTCTTAGAACGTTTTTAAAAGCAGCTAAAGATAGTATGTAGAATTGAAAATAATTATTATGCCATAAAAGGTGTTTTGGAATTCCTTCAACCTTTTGAAATTGAGTCAGAAAATATAAATTTTATAGGATAGCGGAAAATACCTATAATTTTTTTGTAGGCCTTTGTAAATCGTGGAAATAGTTTATATTTTATTTCTACCTTATTAAGGAAAATGGTACCTATTATTAATAACGGTTGTTTCTGAAACATTACTAAAATTTTCGAAATTTTGTTTTTCTACAAAATAATAAACTATACTATTTAGAAAAAAATTTATTTCTCTTATAATTTTATAAAAAATAACAGGGGAATATTTACATTTCTTGATCTATTAAACAAAACGATAAATTATCTCGACGAATGACACCATGTTCTAGTACGGAAGCTAGCTTTACATTTTTGTTGGTGGTTTCATGGGTTTCATATCAATTTTTTGTAATTGTAGTTTACACGTACATATACCTCTTAACACTTGTTTGCTTTATTAAAAAAGTGTGTTGTTGTGATTTACGTTGAAATAAGTCAAAAACAACTTGAAACCCCATATAAAATCAAAAAGGAGAAACGGAAAAAAATTGAGCCTGTAAATGAACACAACTCAGAAACAAAAATAGCTATCTAATAATAAAAAAATAAAATTTGATTCTTGTACAGCTTCATCTATATCATTAACTGTTTTTGGTTTTTTAATGGTTTTTCTTGGTGATGAAAATTCCGATATCTCACGGTTATCGATTCTTTTTTTCTCTCCAGAAATGCGGACGACAGTGTTTTTAGATACTCCTGTGGCTGCAGCAACACGATCATTTACATTTTTAAATGGTATTGAAGGTGAATTAAAGTTTCCTTCTCTTCATTTTCAACATAGTAACTCTGGTTGCTTATTGTATTGTTTTCACTCTCTTTTTTGAAAAAAACGTATACGTGTATTTGATACGCCAAAATTACAAAATTTTGCACTAAAGTACTCGAATTTTCTGTCAATAAGTTATTGATGAGCAAATTTTGAAAAAATCTAATAAGCCGTTTAAAGAAACTATTTTGTTCATAAATTGAAGTAGGTAAGTAGAACAGTTATCTTTCATCAGAATTTTGTTCAAAATTGTTCTATGCGATCTTTATGCCATTTTTACAAAAAATTTTAACTTGCAGTTTTTTATAAAAAATAATAACATCATTTCACAATAAATTATCTCTAAAACTTTTATAAACGTACAAAATTAGCGTATTTCCAGTTATAATTAACTGTTTATTGCTTTACACACCACCTAAGATTTATTCTAAACCCTGAAAAATTGTAAAAAGTCAATAATAACGTTTTAATTCTGTATCTGTAATGTGTGGAGGGTGGGTTACCTCACGGCACTTAGGCCTCATTAGGCCCATTGTGCATCCTCCTAACTCGTGAGCCAGCCTACAGATTTAATGTAGTTGACAACGTCGCCAAGAGGTGTTTCTCTTATATCGGTCGGTGTTAGCCGATACTCGCCGAACACAAATCTTCTTATAAATGAGAGCGTCGAGCAATCATAAAGGATATGCTCGATGGTATCATCTTCTTGTTCGCACCCTCTACAGAGTGCGGATTCTGACAGCTCCATGATATGGAGATGCTTTCGTACTTGTCAATGACCGGTCAGAATGCCTGTGACTAGGCGCAGATTCTGTCTAGTCATAGTCAAGTATTTGTTTGCTGCAGTGTTGTCATGATAACTTAAGAGCTCCCTGGCAACTCTGCAGTTTCTTGTTTCATCCCATCTTTCCTTGAATTTCACAAGGGAGTGTTCTTTGATGAGGTCTGTCACTACCGATTTTGTCAGGCTAATAGAAGGGCCAGGTCCAAAAATTATTTGGTTGGCTGCTTTCTTGGCTAGTGAATCAGCAAGACGGTTACCTTTAAATGTGGCGTGACCTTTAATCCATCTTAAGGTGACCACGTTGTTGATAGATACTTCGGCCAAAGCTTCGTGACATTCTAGTACTAACCCTGAATAAATTAGTGATCTCTTCAGGGTGAGTAGTGCTTGTCTGCTGTCTGTATAGATAAGCATGTTCCTTCCATTGATATTGTTTCTGGTTATTTCGTTTGCTGCTATGAGAATCCCCGTTAGCTCTGTTTGAACTACACTGGCACTATTGTTCACAGTCCATTTTATGTTTAGGTTTAAGAATCTGGAGTATATTCCACATCCTGAGCCTTGTTTTGTTTTAGAACAAAAGTGACGTCTGGCCTCACCAGATCCTACATCAGGTTCTATTACGACCATGCGCAGGCGTGTCATTGTCGTCAGAACAACCTCCTTGATGTAAATATCAAGGGGAGTGAGACTAAGAATGACTTCCATGGCTCTAGTCGGTGTTGTTTTTATGGCTCCTGTTATGTTGAGACATGCTGTTCTTTGAATTTGTTCTAGTTTAAGGATAGCTGTTAATTTTTGGGTTTTAGGTACCCAGACAACTGCACAGTATGTTAGCATAGGTCTTATGATAGCCGTGTAAGTCCATGCGACGACTCTGAGGGCGAAATCCCAGGTGCTCCCCACGGTTCGGCGGCATTGTTCATAAGCAATGTATGCTCTTTTAACTCTGTTTTCTAAATGCGAGTTCCATGTTAACTTGCTGTCAAAGGTGAGACCTAGGTACTTCACCTCTGTTGCAAAGTTTGGTTTTGTGTTTAGGAGTTCTGGAGGTTTTAATTCCATTTTCAACCTTTTACTTGTGACTGTCATTATTGAGGCGGCTGATGAGGGTGTCGAGGACCATATTCCACAGTAGAGGTGATAGCATTCCTCCCTGTGGACATCCCCTCGCAACCAAGCCTCTTATATTCACATCTTCTACACATATATTTACTGCTCGCTTTGAGAGCATGTTATGTATCCACCCACTAACCATTTGTGGAACATTCCTATTGGTTAGTGAGTGTATTATCTTTGGGAAGGCGGTTTTATCAAAAGCACCTTCTATGTCTATGAAAACACCCAAGGCGGGCTCCTTATTATCCAGGGATCTTTCTATCCGGCCAGCAACTAGATGAAGGGCTAAATCAGTAGATCTGCCTGTGGTGTATGCATGTTGGTTTGGGTGTAGTGGTGTGGTTGTAATCACCGCACTCCTTATGTACCTTTCGCATAGCTTTTGCAAT